GGTACTAGAGCGTCTATACTTACAAGTGTTATGTGGGGTGGTCCCGGGACATTGGTGGTATATGAATGAAAGCGATAGCCAAGCTCGCGTTGACACCAGAGCAACCATACTTACAAGTGTTATGTGGGGTGGGACGGGGACATTGTTGGTGGGTGATAGAAAGTGATAACAATTGATAAGGGCTGATAAGGCGCGTCAGAACGCAAAAGTCGTCGATTCCGTTACGCAGCTTGCGCTGACACTAGAGCGTCCCTACTTACAAATTCTATTTGTAGTGGTACGTGCACATCAAGTCTCAGCAAATGATAAGTTTCATTTCTATCACGAAAGCCCAAGACTCATTAAACCGCTAATCCTTTCAGGGTTCTAAATAATGGTTAATGTAAATAAACCAGTTTGGCTGCGCACGCATTCGCGTGCATCACACGGGGGTTCAAACAGGATGATCACTATTCTTTTCTAGATTTTAGTTTTCTGTTCGGTACATCCCATTTACACCGACTATTAGGTCAAACTATATTTTCTATTTCCTACACCGCATTGAGCTACGTGTTTCAGACAGAATCGATCAAAAGACAGTACCCAATCTCTAGGTGCGAACGAAAACAACAATTCCAAGCGACGGCGGTTTTGGAGAGGGTCTTTTTTCGGGGCATATTTTTCAATTTTTGAGAAGGTTTTCTAGTTGAGAAATTCTGTCTGTGGGCAATGTTGCCTCTCATTTACTGCAGAACTGCTGAGTAAGATTCCAAGGGACGGCGGTTTCGGAGAGGGTCTTTCTTTCGAGACAGGGTTTTTTTCGGAAGGTGGTAAGCCTGAAAAATTGTGTCTGTGACCAATGTTCTCTCACTATTACTGCAGAGCTCCTGAGTGAGATTCCTAGGGACGGTTTCGGAGAGGGTTTTTTTCGGGGCAGGGTATACTTTTCAACTTCTGAGAAGGTTTTGTAGTTGAGAAATTGTGTCTGTGGGCAATGCTCTCCCTCAATTACTGCAGAGCTGCTGAGTAAGATTCCAACGAAAGGCGGTTTCGGAGAGGGTCTTTCTTCCAAGACAGGGTTTTTTTCGGAAGGTGGTAAGGCTGAAAAATTGTGTCTGTAAGCAATGTTCTCTCTCTATTACTGCAGAGCTGCTGAGTGAGATTCCAAGGTACGGCTGCTTTGGAGACACTCCTCTTTCGAAATTCATGGGTAACCCCGCCCACTTTTGCGCATGTCCTGCCCACTGAGACTTCATTTCCTTCGCTGACCTCTATACTTTTTTCCTGGTGTCCAAGACTTCTTGGAACCGAGTAATAATGTTTCGTGCATAACTCCGCCCACTTTTGTGCAAGCTTAGCCCACCATTAGCATTAACCCCTTTCCCTCCGGCAACCCTTATCCACATTTCTCCCGGTCGCCTAGCCGTCTTGGAACCGAGTTATGAGAGTGGTGGCAAACTCCACCCACTCCAGGGTGTTGTCATTAGCTATAGAACAGTAAAGTTTGAAATCATCACCGAAAGCACAAACTTCAGCGTTGGCTTGCTCAGGCTGGATAGGAGGCAGGGTCAACCTCCCGTTGCGCAAAGAACAACGAGGGGGTCGTATTCAGCCGACCGAAAAGGGAGGGGGTCGTATCCACAGACGGGCTGCAAGACGGCTTGAAAAGTGCAGTGTCCGGGAGTGCACTTTCACCTCTAATGTTCTCCAGGAGCTCTGCACCGTGCAGCTGTCGGAGAGTCACACAGACAAGAGCTCCATGGGAGCATTAGAGCATGCAGAGCATTATAAGTCTCACTATCAGCCATTATTATCCTTAATACACGGACGGCGCTTTCGCTCGACAGCATAGATCAAGATTACAAAAAACTTTGTTACAGCGTAGTGCAAAAACATGGTCTGTCTTCGATGATCGAACATTCCTGAAATCCCAAGGAGAACAAAGTGTAGAGCAGTTCATGGGGAAGTGAAACAAGAGTACCATATAACAGTACAATGCAACTCAATCACGATACTAACACCTTCTTCAGGAAAATGGAGGACTTTCAAATGCGAGTGCGACTTCTGTCCACAGACAGGTGCACGGCGTATACCCGAGCAGGCGTTTTCCCATAAAAACGCCTCCTCTGTCAGCGGCCGTAAGCAGACAAACTTTCTGAAGAGAATTTTGATGCTTTCAAATAAAATCTAAGCGAAACAAAGTGTAGCGAATTTGCTGAATTGAGTTCTAGAGACCCCGTAGGAAAATTGAGGCAGAAGAAAGAATTTCAGGAAAATTTCACAGTTGTTATGAAGTACTCTTCGAGTGGATTCCAACAAGTCTTTACCGCTTCTCATCACATTAATTTTGAAGGAAGTTATGGGCCTTTGAAGACTGCATAGTCGCGGTCCAGGAAAATGGCTTGAAAAAAATCAAGGTGGAAAAACGGAACAACGGGACTATTTTTTGAATATTGAACATTCGCAACATTTCAAATACTTTTTAGGAAGAAAACTATTTGAATTTTTAAAATTTTGGTGTCCGGTTCCATGAGACCGCTTCTGAAAAAAATATAACCTTCTGAATGGAGGGGTTTGGATTGCAACGTAATTGCTACAAGGTTTAGTTTTTCAGATTATAAAGGAAAATTGAGAGATCGAAAAAAATTGGTGGGTTTCTGAAAGTAGAAATCTTTACGATTAAATGATGTATTGGTTTACGCAAAAATTTGGAAATTCCTTCTATTTAATGAATAAAACTTCATGTTGCCTCGATTCCCTCCTCTGAGCGAGACAGAGCGCGCGGATTGACCACGGTCCACCACTTCTCCATGTTGGTGACTGCCCACACATCAATGATGAGCATTAAATTATGTGAAAGACATAATAGTTAATACGGGGGGTCGTACCGATACCCTCCGAAAAGGAAGGGGGTCGTAAAAATTTTGGAATTTGCGCAACGCACCCTGACTACGAATATTTGAAGTTTAAGCTAAATTCTATCCACTTGCTCAATCCAATAATGGCTATTAACCTTCCCTTCATCTTCAACCAGTTGTTCGTTTTTTCCCGTCTCTGTACTGTTGATGAGCCTACTAATTTGTTGAGCGGCAAACCCCGATTTTTTGATGCACGCTGCGCACACCATTAGAAATTCAATTCCTTCCCTTCAACCACCCTTTTCCGGTCTTCGGCACCTAGGGGGGTCTTTCAGGACAAGGCCGCGCTTTTTGGAAACGGTTTCTTGCATATTGTAGGGACGCATGTATGGACCACAAAACCATGTTTCGTTTTCGCTGAACGGTTTTAGTAGTACCAAAAAAGTGGTGAATGATACCCTTGATGGTTCGATCCCCCGCGGCAACTAAGTTTTGCAATCAAGGTTGGCGGTCACCTACTAGTAGCGAAGTTCAATTGTAATCGAAAAAAGCATTTCAATCCAAGCGCCCGGATCGTTTAGTTTATCTAGGAAATGGGTTTATAGTCAGCATGGCGTCTGCTAAAATGATGTGATGGGATTGACACGTCCGATTCATCCGTTTTTCGGCTGCTAGCTCGCCCTGTAACTAGTCAAGAGTCATCGAGCTGGTCGACTGAGGAATTGACAACCTTGTTGAAATCGATGTTTGCGTAAATGTGCGCTAAGTACTGTTTGTAAACGCACAAAATTTCTCGAAAACATCTGGAAAGACAGGCTTTGGATGTGTGTTTGTCAGCTTACGGTCAGTCGGGGATCAATCTTGACCAGATCTATGAACATCACTACGTCCAGAAATTGTGGCAGACGGCTGGAACTTGAAGCTCGATGAATGCTTACCATTGGCTCAAAAAGCTCTTCAGTGTGAATACTGCTGCACAAACCAATGAAAAAGTGATTGGCGTCTTCTCCGGAATGCGCCGCGCACTTGTTCTCCATTTGCTGTTCTGGAAATAATCAAATGAGTCATTGAAATACAAGACCATTCACATGGCTTTGTCTATGACCGAGACAAAGTATTTGCTTTGAAATTGGTCCGCGGAATTTGAGACTGCAAAGATTGCAGGGTTGGTATGTAGGCTTTGATGGCTGCGCAATAAACGGCAACACTTTAAACTGCCACTACAGCCCCCTCCCCTTCCCCCGAATAGATTCACCGTTTGCTTAGTATTCCCTATTTCTTCTGTACCAATTAGAATTCCTCTTATACCAGTTTATTCGAAGCATTTGTTAGATGTTTTCCACGAAAGGCGGAAGTGATGTAGTATCAGGTGGCACCCCTACCACATTCGCGGTACAGGGACCTGGTTCGTGCGTCGTCCGAGCCAACCAGGCCTTCCATCCCTCCGGGTAATTGGTACCAAACTTGTCCGGCAGGATATCTTCTGATATGATTGCCGCATTCTGCTCCGGGATTGACCAATTGAACGGCAGAAGCTTTATCCTTTTTTACTTTCCACGATGGTTTAGATGTACTAGTAGAGAGAATGGCTTGAGAATCATACAATAATTGTCATTACCACTCAAGCTCAGCCCAAAGCATGATCCAACTAATTCTGCTAAATTGCCTGGCTTCTGCTGACTTCTAGTCTCTGCTCTCCTTCAGTGGCAGGGGTGCTTGTAAGAGGTTACCAAACCATCCATAATCTACACTAATCGCATTACCTGAGTCACTCCTCTCACTCACAATTCCGCAGAAATGTTTTAAAAATACTGTCCCAAAACCAGCTTTCAATTGAAAAAGTCGGAAATTGAGCATTGAGAACTTCAACAAACTGTTACAAATATAATCCAAAACAAAAAACTGTCGACGCCATTACTCGATTTTTCTAAACCCCATTTTTTCTATTTTCCCTATTTATTCACGCATTCAATGACGAGCCTGTTATAAACAGGATTTGGTGCGAGAAAGCCCCGGAAGAACGACAGGTTTCGAATTGTAGTGAGCCCCTGCAAGAAAATCTTGGATTGAGCGTAACCCTGCGCTCCCAGCAAAGAACGGGTGAGAGGTTGTCGGCCGATGCTGGGAGGTGTGAGAGGCGGTCCTTTCAGCGAGGCTCATTCGATGAGCACGGTCGGCCTGTGCCTATTCGTCGCGGCCGGCCTTGGTCCTGCAGGCCCGTTGCTAGTTGCCGCCCAGTATAGTAACGTCTATCAGCTAATCGAACCTTATGTCCATCCCTATTTGACTTCACGACCTCATCACAATTGGATCAACTCAGGTATAAGGAAGCCGAAACTTAATGTCTAGAACAACTAATATATAGGATTATTCAGGAAAATTCCAAGGAGACATTGCTGGGATCGATGCCGCTCTTCTACGGGAACCGGTGAGGCGTTTTCTGTGATCACTTTATGGCTTCTTCTTTCCTTGAATGTATTTCTTCTCTAATTTGGAGCATATACAACGTTCACGTTCCTTTTCGATACTCAAATTAGCGCTAGTTTCATTAGTTTGTAAAATCATCTCATTCAAGTCTGTTGAACATCTACAGGGTGGCGACTAAATATTGACCATATTTTTGCAAAGAGAAAGCTATTACATATTCAGAAGTTTATTTTTATATACAGTAAAACATATCCATGCATCACTGAAGAAGGTGCTCGAAATGGCCTCCCTCGGCAGTGATACAGGCTTCAAGTCTCTTCTCTGACATCACCGTGGGCCGCAAGTAAGTGACGTCAACGTGACGCGAGAAGATCATCACACTGGAATTGGCGCACAATTCTCAAAACGACAGGCAATTGTTGGATCCGGCTAGCAGACATTCTGCTCGACGTCGTGTGCACACAAGGAGCCGATTTACAAAATCTGTCTGGTCTGGGCAGGACTTACTTCTGAAACCAAGACACCGCTTGTCTTTGTGGATAATATCTTGCAAATCGATGCCCGATCTTATAAGAAAAATCTTCACGTGTATGCTCCTTCCCCGGACTGTTTGGACCTTCAGCGAACGTGCTGCCTTCTTCAACGTGAAGGGGCGCCTACACATGTTGCAAAATCTGCGTTGGAGTTCTGTGACCGTCATTTCCCAGGTTACTGGTCACAATATGTTGGGCCGTCTAACTCAGCTTATTGTAGCGAATGAATTTTGGTGTCTAAGGATTCCTGCAGCAAAGATACCTCCTAAACTCCATTCAAGTTTGGACTCCCTGAAGGCTTCCTAGGAGAAGGCGTTGTAATAACTCGCCTTGCGGCCCACGGTGATGTCGGTTAAAAAGAGACTTGAAGCCTGTATCGCAGCCGAAGGAGGCCATTTCGAGCATCTTCTTAAGCAAAGTGTTGTTATGTTCTATCGTATATAAAACTAACTTTTGAATGTGATAGCTTCTCTTTTAAAAAATATAGTCAATAAACGATGTCAATAGTTAGTAGCCACCCTGTACACATTAGCTCTGCACTGAATGTTGAGCCACCTTCTATTTCTTCAATACCCTGAGAAAAAGCGAAGATGTGGCGCATTCTGTAGCTAGAAGACTAACTAGCTCGAGAGATATCACTGAATTGCTCATACTAGTACCTAGAATGAACCAAAGATCTGGCTAGACTTCCATATACTCTCATATGCTAGGGATAGTTATCGATTGCCTAAAAAAAACAAAAATTTTCTTCTATCAGAAGGCTGTTAAAGCAATGATTCGAAAAGCTCGAGGTGTCAAAATGGCAAACGATGACACCACCTCTGTCCGCTTGCAAATGTAGCAACGATAGGCCGACCCTGATCAGAAGGCTGTTAAGCCGGTGATTCGGAGCTCAAGGTGCCAGAATGGTGACGGCTCTATTCCGTCCTCTGAATGTCTTAAATATTATTTGGCTGACATCTAACAAAGGTATCAGGTAGTTGTAAAGCAAAAACTATCGTAAATTAGATGTGAATGATTTGTTCTTCGACACCCGCCTCAGTCGGGGTCATTTCTTTGTGGTCATTTGTTTGTTCAATGCTCCCAATCCGATTTTCTTTTTCCTTGAACCAAAATTAGCGAAAATAAAGGAATTAATAGGAATAGCTTGTTTTTTTGGAGTTCTTTTTTTAACTTTATTGTGGGATGCGCTAATTTTGATACAGAAAAAGAACGTTTTGGAAAAAAAAACCAATTATCTAAAATTCTACTATTACCGTAGAAGGCGTGTTTGCCACTTCTCGTTCCTCAAAAATCAACTATATGTACTTATAGATAAGATTTTAGACAAAATTCAAAAATCAAGCCAAAAATTATGAACTTTCAAAAAATACATCTTTAAATAGTTGTCAGATATCGTACTTATTTTCGTTCCTGTTATTCTATCTGCTCTCTAAGCAAAACAAAAAGGGAGGGGGAGTGGTTGGGGGGATTAAGTACCTTTTTCAGTACAGTTACCTCTCCCCTCCATAAGTCGCGCTCTTTCATTGCGTTTCATGAATGTTGAGACAGTACTATCTAAGAGCCGCATGTCAATGTGAATTTTCAAGAGCGTTGTGAAGAGTGGTGGAAACGGAACATTATGTGAGGTAGATGTGGTGAAAAATTACTCCCCCAACCATCCCCTCATCCCCCCCCCCCTGCCTCCCACCCTACAATCTCTCCCATTTTGTCTATGCTCAGAGATTGGTTCGAATAACAAGAACGAAAATATGAACGAAAGTTGGCAACTGTATGATTTCACAAATTATTGCAAAAGGCCGACCAGGTATGGAACTTGAAGACCTGATCAACCCTTTTTTTTGAAAAAAATCGTGCACGAAAATCTCTATGGCATTTGTTACACTGAATGGCGTGGTCCAGTCCATGTGCATGCCTTTGGTTTTGTGCCAGTGGTCTAATGCCAGTATATCAATTAAATTCTTTCGGATTTTCAAACAATAAACCTCTGAGGTCCAACACTCTTCTTCATACTGGTCGAATTCATTGATGGTTCTAAATTTGTACAACTTTGCTGAATTGAACCTAGTTGAGCTCTAACTCATCTCCAGTTTTTTAATTGTCATTATCTTACTAACAAAACCACGTTCGATGCGACGATGCGATGCGCCACGCACTCGAGTTTCGCCAAATATCGTTGTAATACTTGAGATGCAGTTGAGTTATGAATGTGATATTTGCGCCAGCCAACCATTTTTTACAAATCATAAAAAAATCATACTTATCCTCTGACCACGAGATAAGTACCAATTGGTCGGCCTATAATGGGTGAAAGGCTCCGACGTATGCTCAAGGTGAACCTCTTAGGTCGTGATTACCTAAGAACGTGTTCGCGGGAATCACCGTCTTCTACTGTTTCTCCTCGTTTACCTTCACAGCCACAAATTGTCTCATTTGTTCCGCTGAGTTATGGTGCTCCGCAGCATAGCTTGTAGGGCACTTGCTCGGTAAGGTGCTTGCTTGGTAGGGTGCAGGTTCTGGTTCCACCTGGGGGTGAGAGTTGTCTTCATATCAGAGTATCCTTGTTTCCTTTCCAACTTCCTCCAAAAATCAATACGTGGTTCATTATTTAAAGGCACAACCCAGGCAGAGGTTTTTTATAACTCTTCTCTTCGGTCAGAAGTATAGAACCCTAGGGGACAATCACAAATGTGGCGTTCACGTGCACGGAATTCGACCGACAAGAACGCTTTGGGCTTGCAAAGTAAGCTGCTCGAGCTGCAGCGAACGAGCTCTCTTATCAGGCCGTTGTCTGGTGCTCTCTCATCTGATGCGCTCTCTCGCCCCATACTCTCCTCTTCGCGCTTAGTCTCTCGTTCCTTTAGCACAGCCAATTAGGAAGGTGAGTGAGCCCTCAACCTGAGCGTTTTCGACGGATTCTTTTCCTTTTTTCTTCACTGCCGGCCCACTTGGCACCGATACATTCACATTCGTGTGCAAGAGCCACACCAGTGCGATCCTGGGGCATGCCTTTAATGTGCATGATAACAAAAGTGATTTTAGGACGGAATGGTCTTCTACAACGCCCTGAAAAATAAGCAACTAGCATGGAAAGATGGAATCATACCGTATGAAATGGATCCAGCGTTCTGTAAGTGAGTTAAATTGATCACTGTCCTCTAACTATTTTTATGCGCTTTCATTCGGTGATTATCATTTTCTATTATCAGCTTGAATGGATTTTCGGGCTAGATTATTTTCTCCTGAAGGACAAGGACACCCTTAAACTTGCCTTTGAAAACCAGTAGACCTGGCTTAAAATACGCATAGACGCCACTTCTGTGTAAATCGAAAACCGGAATGCGGAAGGATCAGCGGTTATGCTCAAGACAGGATGTCAACACCAGTCCAGCAAAAGTCGACCGAGTCCGTAAAATTGGAAAGCCTAGTCAGCTGTTTCGGAATTTGCTCATTAATTTGAACCTTGGAGCATTTCCAATATAACTGTGCGTTCGTCAAAATCGTGGCGCAATCGAAGGATGATATCGATCGACTTTGACGGCTTCCCAAGTTTGATCTTCAAAAAGGCTCCTTATTTCACTTTTGAACCCTTATTTTCACTTCAGAAATATGTATCTATCGGAGATTAACCAATTTGTGACTACCGTATTCCACTTACAGTACCTCATGAAGTGAAGATAATCGAAAAAGCGTTTGCCAGCTATCGTAAGAGCACCTGCATTCGATTTCAGTCCAGGAATGGTGAACAAGACTACCTGAATATCGTAAAAGGCTTTGGGTATGTTTATGCGTCCCAATATTACAGCTATCAAATTGAACCTACATCCTACAAGTTTAGTTGCTCTATATACTCGCCAGTGGCGAGTCGCCACTAACAATTCGGTGCTAACTTAGTTGGGGGGGGGACCACGCGGCGGCGCGGCGCTCTGTTCGTCTGCTCCTCCAAGGCTTAGTCCGCCGATGGCGCGTATTTCGAAACTGCCACGTGGCGACGAAATAGTAACTGCCCCTTGGACTAAGCCTTAGAGGAGCAGACGAACAGAGCGCCGCGCCGCCGCGTGGTCCCCCCCCCAACTAAGTTAGCGCCCACAATTCCCGCTTAATTTGAATAGGTACGTCTCAGAGTAGGTTGAACATTCCAGAAGTTACTTCTCAACTTTTACTGCTTCTCAAAGTTCCCCTACTAGGATACAGATCAGTAAGTCAAAAACAGGCAATCGGTGTGGTGAGAGATCCAGCTCACCCCGGCAAGTTGGATAGCCCGTCCAGAGGTTCCCTTTCGTTCAGCATGCGGGTTGAGTGCATAAATCATTGCGATCAGATTCAACTATCCCTTCCCTACTGGAGGTTTCCTCGAGTCCCGAAGAAATACCGCATGAATGAAGTGGTATTTCGTTGTCAATTTCCTGTTTTAACAGATGCTACTCACAAGTCGGGCGTACTGGAGGAAAGCAGGAGATCTCACTGGGCCGTGGATGCCTTTTTCACGAAATTATTGTCCATGAGCTCATGCATTCGGTTGGATTTTGGCATGAACACAGCCGCGCCGGTAAGTGTGTCATTTTTAATTACGTATTTACGTATTGTTGTATCGTTCTTCGTTTGCACACTTATTGATTTTCGTTTTGGGTCGTGTTACTGAAATTAGTTTTATTTTGAAACGCGATCAT